CCCGCTCGTTTTTCACCAACAGTCACACACTTCGTGCTCTTCGAGTTCCCAGAACTCCATTCCCAGGCCACATTCTGGAGGGCCGGATGCAACAGTCACACACTTCGTGCTCTTCGAGATCCCAGAACGCCATTCCCGGGCCACATTCTGGAGGGCCGGATGCAACAGTCACACACTTCGTGCTCTTCGAGTTCCCAGAACTCCATTCCCGGGCCACATTCTGGAGGGCCGGATGCAACAGTCACACACTTCGTGCTCTTCGAGTTCCCAGAATTCCATTCCCGGGCCACATTTTGGATGCCCGGAGCCAACTGTAGGCCACTTCGTGCTCTTCTATTTCCCAGAACTCCATTCCCGGGCAACATTTTGGATGCCCGGAGCCAACTGTAGGCCACTTCGTGCTCTTCGATTTCCCAGAACTCCATTCCCGGGCCACATTTTGAATGCTGAGGCAGGCTGATGCTGCGGCCGAGGCAGGCTGAGGCTGAGGCAGGCTGAGGCTGAGGCCGAGGCTGAAGGCAGACTGAGGCTGAGGCTGAAGCAGACTGAGGCTGAGGCTGAGGCAGGCTGAGGCTGAGGCTGAAGCAGGCTGATGCTGAGGCAGGCTGAGGCTGAGGCTGAGGCTGATGCAGGCTGAGGCTGAGGCAGGCTGAGGCTGAGGCCGAGGCTGAAGGCAGACTGAGGCTGAGGCTGAAGCAGGCTGAGGCTGAGGCTGAGGCAGGATGAGGCTGAGGCAGGCTGAGGCTGAGGCTGAGGCAGGCTGAGGCTGAGGCTGTGACTGCGACTGCCGTTGCCGCTGCGACTGTCATCGCGAATGCGACTACGATTGCAAGAACAGCAGAACTCTACAGCTGGATTCTCACCTGAATCTTAAGGGGAATGCTTTCAGATGTGCTTCTACACATCGCTGTTAGGTTGCTTTGCCGGGATAATTTGTTCCACGTGCGGGGCCTACGCTACGGTGTCTGCGGGATCTCGGGGCCTGCGCAAAGAGCGTGAGGGCTCACGGCATGCCTTGGTCGACCCTGGCAAGAAGAACTCTAGGGCCGTCTTCGAAGGGAAGCACCCCAATAGACCTCTCATGCTGGGCCCTTGGAGAACCTGGCCCGGCACAGAAACGGAAAGAGCGCTTCAGAAACAGAAACCGAAATTACTCACACCACCGTTCGTACTGGGAGCCTGGGCGTTGAGAGCTTGTTACGTCACCCCTCTCTCTTGGGAGCCTTGCTGTTCAGAGATTGTTGCGTTGCCGCCCGTTCCTGAGCCTTGGCTGGGCCTTGGTGTCAAGAACTTGTTACGTCACCGCTCTCTGCTGGGAGCCTTGGTCTTATCAGCTTGTTTACGTCACCGTTCGCTCTTGGGAGCCTTGGTGTGAAGAGCTTTTTGCGTTACCGATCGCTCTCTATTTGGCGTCTCTGGGCCTTCTTGGGAGTTCTATTGGGGCCCTTGTCGGGCCCTTTTGGAGGCCTCTTGGGAACCTCTTAGGGGAACTCTTGGGGCTTCTTGGGGGGCTCTGGGGGCCTCCTGGGAGCTTCTTGGGGCGAAAGGCTAGACTTTTCGGTTCGTGGTCCCCCTCTTGGGGCCGTCTTGGGACCCTCTTGGGCCGTCTTGGGCGCCTCTTGGGCCGTCTTGGCGCCCCCTTGGGCCGTTTTGGGGGCCTCTTGGGAGCCTCTTGGGCCGTCTTGGGGCGGTCTTGGGGGCCTCTTGGAGCGTCTTCAACGCAGTGAAAGCCGAAAAACCTTGTATGCTAAAAATGTACCTTTCCCCATAGGAAATCAATAATTTTCGCCTCCCGGTGACCTCTTGGGACGCATCTTGGGGGCCTCTTGGGGCTGCTTGGGAGGCTCTGGGGGCCTCCTGGGAGCGTCTTGGGGCGAAAGGCTAGACTTTTCGGTTCGTGGCCCCCCTCTTGGGGCCGTCTTGGCGCCCTCTTGGGCCGTCTTGAGCGCCTCTTGGGCAGTCTTGGGGCCCTCTTGGGCCGTTTTGGGGGCCTCTTGGGCCGTCTTGGGGCGGTCTTGGGAGCCTCTTGGGCCGTCGTCAACGCCGTGAAAGCCGACAAAGCGCATATGCTAAAAATATACGCTTCCTCTGGGAAATCGATGATTTCGGCCTCTTGGGGCCCTCTTGGGACGCCCCTTGGGCGCCTCTTGGGGGCCTCTTGGGCTGTCTTGGGTGGTCTTGGGCTCTCTTGGAGCGCTCTTGGGCCGTCTTGGGGGGGAACCCGAAAACATGCAAAAACCCGAGGGAAACCCGAAAACGGCCATTAACACGCAAATGCGCACGCTACCCCCCTCCCCTGGAACCCCTCCCTTCAGGGCTTCGCCCACACCAGAACGTCATCACTCGTACCTCGCTCTTTCCGTTACTCCTAGGGCGTGGGCGCGGGAGCTGGTGGGGGGCACTGGGGAATCCAAAACGGCCCAGCAGGGAAGCAACAGGTTTTTCAGGCCCGACCAGGGCCGCCATGCAAGTCTGTGCTTTGCAGATGTCCTACAGGCGTTGGGACAAAAATGAATCCGAAGCGGCTGCGCTGGGACCTAAGCTGCAGGAGAGAACCCCAGACAATGAGCTGGAGGATGAAGATTGAAGCGGTCTAATACCCAGGGGGGGCCCTGTCGCTGGCCCCTGGCAGATCTTCGGCCTTCCTGCCAGGGTGACAAAAAGTTCTACTGTGATGGGCCTCCCCTGGGTGTTTTTTTGGACCGTCGGAATTCCTTTTCCCCCCCTTTCCCCTCAGTGGCGTGCGATCCTCCTCCCTCGTGAGACTCTGGCAAATGTTTAGTACGAATGTGCGCGGCGCTGAGGCGAGAACCACATTTTGAAAAGGAGCCGCCCTCAATCCGTGAAGCCCTTGCAACTTTTGAAAACGAATGTGCGCGGCGCTGAGGCCAGAGCCACATTTCAAAAAGGACCCGCCCTCAATCCGTGAAGCTCTTGCTGTTTTTGCTAATGAATGTGCGCGCCGCTGAGCCCAGGGCCACATTTTGAAAACGGCCCGCCCTCAATGCGTGAAATGCGTGCGAATTTGTATTCGAATGTACGCGGCGCTAGGGCGAGAGCCACATGTGAAGCTTTTGCAAATATTAAAGCGAATGTGCGCAGCGCTAGGGCCAAAACCACATTTTGAAAACGGCCAGCCCTCAATCCATGAAATTCTTGTGAAAATTTAAAACGAATGTGCGCGGCGCTGAGGCGAGAACCACGTTTTGAAAACGACCCACTATCAATCCGTGAAGCTCTTGCAAATATCTAAAACGAATGTGCGCGGCGCTGAGGCGAGAGCCACACTTTGAAAACGACCTGCCCTCAATCCGTTCAAATCCTGTACATGTTTAGAACGAGCGTGCGCGGCGCCAAGGCGGGAGCCACATTTGGAAAACGACCCGCCCTCCATCTGTGAAGCTGTTGGAGGAGGAGGAGGAGGAGGAGGGGGAGGAGGAAGGAGGGAGGGGGCGGAGGCGGAGGAGGAAACCCACCACCACCGCCAGGCAAGCTCCCCGTGGTGCCGAGGCCCTGCGCGGGATGTCCCGCGAGAGCGCCCGCACGGTATGCACGACCACCGCCCCCGACCCCCCCTCGTCGGAGGTCTCCAGGGGCGCCCATGGCCCAATATGTCCCCCGCTATGCATCCCATTGCGGAGCCCCTGGGGCCACCTGGGCCCCCTCCTCCTCCTCCTCCTCCTCCTCCTCCTCCTCCTCCTCCTCCTCCTCCTCCTCCTCCTCCGCCCTCCTCCTCCTCCTCCTCCTCCTCCTCCTCCTCCTCCTCCTCCTCCTCCTCCTCCTCCTCCTCCTCCTCCTCCTCACGGGGCCACCTGGGCCCCGTGACGGGTGCTCTGGAGGCCGTGGGGTTCTCCCTGGAAAGTCTGGCGGTCCCCCTGGACCCGGGGGTGGTCCAAGGGTGGTGATCCCGGAACTCCGGCGTCGTGTTTTTTTCGCGACGTGGACCCCTGGAGGTCTGGAACTTTTTCCTGGTACCCGTCTGTCGTCCCGAGCCGCATTCTGACGGGCACGGGGTTCGGCAAGGGCCCCCGAGGCCGAAAATCAGCACAACCGTCTGTCCGGATGTTTTGCCACAACGACGGGCGGCCCGGTCTGGTTGCCCTCCTTCCTTGAGGGGATGAAGGGAAGGGGCCGGCAGAGGGGAAACGTCGGCCCGGACTCGGCGACGCATCGCCGATGGATCGGCGACAGGCCCCCGGCAGCGACACCGCACGCTCCTGGGCGGGCTGCCGGCGTTGCCCCCATGACTAAGCATATGCCCCGTGACGCCCCCCCCTAAGCACGTCCCCCCCCTAAGCATGTCCCCCCTCATAAGCATATACCCCCTAACGTTCCCTACCTCAGCACATCCCACCCCTAAGCACACTCCCCGCCTGAGCACGTTCCCGCTCCTAGGCACATGCCCCTAACGTCCCCCCCTGAGCATCCACCCCCTTGTGGCTCGGGCCTTCGGCGGCCCTTCGGCACGATCTGGGCACCCCTTTTCGACGCTCTCTCGGCGGGCGCAGCTGCCGGAGGGCACCCCGCGGCTGGAGCAGCGCCCGAGATTCGGCGGACACGCCGGGAAGCCTCGAGCCTCGAACCCCACACCTCCCCCGAGCCTGCTTCCGCCCAACTGTCGAGGGCCCGCGAACCTGAAGACGCCGAGCCTCGATCCCAGAAGGCTTCCCCCCTGAGCCCATCCCCCCCCCCCTTGGGCCTGTCCTCCCCTGAGCCCATCACCCCCTCCTCGAACCCAGAAGGCTCTCCCCTGGGCCTGTTCCCCCGAGGCCTGTCCCCCTCGGAGGCGCGCAAACATTGATTAGCGATCCATGGATTTGGCGCGCGGTCGCCGAATCCATGGATCGGGGGAGGGCCCCCCCCCCAAAGTGCGGCCAGCGCCGCCGCGCTCGGCGGCGGAAATCCGCGATTTCCCATGGAAGCGGGACCCGTCTCTTATCCACGCCCCCTCAATCCATGCTTGCGATCGCTTGAAACTGCGTCCCCGACCCCCCCCCCCCCAGCACCTGCACACCTGCGGCTATGCTCGTGGAAGAACTGCCTCAGCGGCGCGGGCCCCCGCCCCCGCGCGGCGGCCCCGAGCCTTCGAGGCCCCCTACGAGGAGGGCGCCAGAGTGCACAGCGGCGCCGACCCCCCGGGGCCTCCGGGCCTGCGCCGGCGAGGCTCGCGACCGGTGCGTGGGGGGGCGGCCCCCCGACGGAGCCCGCGGCTCTCGTCGCCAACGCGAAGGGGGCGGAGGAGCAGGAGGAGCAGGAGGAGGAGGAGGAGGAGGCGGAGAGGAGGGTGGAGAGGGAGGAGAGCGGAGGGGGAGGGGGAGGGAGAGGAGGAGGAGGAGGAGGAGGAGGAGGAGGAGGAGGAGGAGGAGGAGGAGGAGGAGCGCAGCGCCTCAGGAAGGTCTCCCGCCGCGCACGCGGGCGCGCGACGGACTACCCCCTGGCGCCGCCTACTTACGGCACGGTGCCGTAAGAGCAGGAGGCACCGTAGAAGGAGAGCAGCAGGAAGAAGTCGCCCTCGAGGCCGTGGACGCAGGCCAACTTGCCGCCGACGAAGGAAGCGTCGCCACCGAAGGAGACGCCGTGCCACCAGCCGACCACGGAACGGCAGCGAATCACGACATGGTCGATCAACGCGCCGCGTGGCTGCAAGAGGAGACCCCCTGCGGGGGCGGCGCCGATCGGGCGCGAGGCGCCAGGCCCCTCTCGACGCGCCTGATCGCATCTTGCTGGTTGCGGCGCGTGGACTCGTTGGGCGAGAGCCCATCGCACCTCAAGCCAAGCTTCCGCACTGTGCAGACATCTCCCGCAGCGCAGTGAGACCCGCAGCGCCTGCAACAGTAAACATTGTTGTCCCTGAACACGTCGTGCCCAAGCGCAGCGAAGGCGTCCCCGACCTCCTCGGCCAGGGCAGGTGGCAACAGGGCTGCGGGGGCCGAGGGCTGCGAGCTCCCTTCGAGCGCCAAGGCCGCGCCCAGGGCCATGCCAGCCCTCTGGTCGCTGCAGAGAACCCAGCACCCAGCCCTCGCCGAAGGCGCGGAAGTACTCGGCGTTGAGAGTTTGGTAACGCGCGACGGGCGACATACACGATGAGAGCCAGTTTGCAGCGACTCGAGGGAGGAGCCCGTTGTGGCCGTGACTCCGCATTGGGTACATCGGTACCGCCCGAGGCTGGCGCAGAAAGCAAGGACATGGTCCGTACTGCGTGCCACCACAATGGGCCTGGCCTGCTCGCAAGGTGGCCTGGGGAACTCCACGTCGCACCCCCATTGTTTGCGAGCCACCACCTGCAGCGCCGCCCACGACATGAACCGCAGGACCTTTGCGGTGCTGCTTCAGCGCAGCTGGTACCGCCTCAGCTACCGACTCAGCCAGTGCGTGAGGCTGCACCACAGCGCGCAAAGTAGTCTGCCCAGCCGTTGCCTAGCCAGTCGCGCAGCTCCTGCGGCTCTGTGCCCATAAGCTCCTCCACGGACCTGTGCGCTGGCGTCCATCGGAACTTGAGAGGGTCCCGCAGAGTGCGCCTGCGGCTGGCCACGAAGATGCCCCGCCACGCTCGAGCATGCTTGGCGCGGCCCTGCTCGAGCTCGGGACACCAACGCTCTCCTTCCTGGGCGAGCGCCAGCAGGTCAGTGACGAAGCGCTGGTGGTCAGGGAAAGCGTCGAGCCCCTCCCTGATCGCGTACCTCTCAGCACGGCCGACAGTCTGCACCTAGTACGGAAGGGGCCCGAACCGCGCCCTAACCGGGAGCCAAGAATAAGGATCAAGCTGCACAACAGCTTGTCCACATCTCCGCACCTCGGGAACACCTGAGTCGTAACCAGACCAGTCGGTGTAAGAAACGGGGCCCCAAACGCCATGGGCGTCGCCCCAAAGGCAGACATCATGCCTCCGCGTATCTGCGCGTGGCAGATAAGCGGGAGGCTCGGGTATGCCAGAAAAGAAATAGGACTGCTCGAAGTTCGGCGTGCCTGATCCAAGACCCGCTTGGATGAGCTGGTCGCGCACCTCAGCCAGCACTGGGGGGAGGTGGAAGATACCACGGCCATTCAGCGTTGGCGTCGCTGTCTCGTGCCCGCCGTGCCCGCATGGTGCATCGGGCGCCGAGGCTGGAGCCGCCGTCACATGGGACAGCGGGTCACTCTGTTCCAAAGCAACCGGTTGCGCACAGGGGGCACTCTGCGCGTCCAGCCGCGCCTTCTCCTGATGGCCGTCGTACCCATCGGGTGGCACAAAGTCGACCTCTTCATCGACCCCTTGCCCGATGCCTGGAAAGAACCTCGGCCTCCATGGTGCTGGGTCGGGTCGGCAGGGTCGGCAGGGTCGGGCCGGCCCGACTCTCAAGGTTGTCGTGAGCTTGCTGGCGTAGGTCGCCGAAGCCATGCTGCATCGCAGGGTTCTGCGCTTGTCACAGGCCTTGGACATGGTCCGTCGGCTCCTGCTCCATGGGTCGCAGCTCCCTTGCGGGGGGGTGGGCCACCAGCGCGGGGCACTCCAAGAAGACATGGCCCCAGCATTCATTCATCGGGCGCAAGGGCCTTCCCGCAAGCCTGACAAGGGAGCATGGGCATGCCGAGCTTCATGTCCCTGCGGATCGGCATGGGTAACTATGTTGTCAGACCATAGCGCCTGTAACGCTCCCAGCTGCCTTGCGGCACGGACACCCTTGACCGCATACGTGAGCCCACAGTGCCAGATGGGCGCACCAGCGTGGGAGTACATGTGGCTGGTGAGGCGGTCGTGCTGCCAGCGCTGCACGCCTTGCACCAAAAACGGATGTAGGTCAGCAGGGCACACGCGGTACAGGTCATACTGGTTGCCCAGGTCATCCTGCAAGACGTGCGGCGCTTTCATGTCCCAGGCTAACCGACTAAGCGTCAACCACGTCGCGGCCAGGGAACCTTTGGCATTGGCCCAACTGATGGGGGGAGCGCTGTCCAAGCCATTTGAAGGCGGCTGGGTGACGTACGCCCATCCCAAATCCAGGCGGCGTAGTTCAAGACCAGGTCCAGCGTGGCATGATAGATGGGGTCGTACTCCTCCGAAGGGTGAGTAAGAAGGAGGAGGAGGAGGAGGAGGAAGAAGAAGACGAGGAAGACGAGGAGGAAGACGAGGAGGAAGACGAGGGGGGGAGGGGGAGGGCAGGATGAGGACATCTTCGGATGAGGACACATCGGGAATCCCTGAGAGCCCGCGGGCCCGGAGGGTTTGTCGGGCACCGCGGCCGTCCTGGAGCCCGGCACCGACCCACGCAAGACGGGGGCAGGACGAGGATCACTCTGGATGGGAGCAGATCGGGGATCTCCGAGGGCCGGCGGGCATGGACGACTTCTCGGGCACCGAAGGATGGACCTCCTCCTCCTCCTCCTCCTCCTCCTCCTTCTCCCCCTCCTCCTCCTCCTCATCCTCCTCCCCCTCCTCCTCCTCCTCCTCCTCCTCCTCCTCCTCCTCCTCCTCGTCCCCCTCCGCCTCCTCCTCCTCCTTCTCCTCCTGATCCTCTCCCCCCTCCTCCTCTCCGCCTCCGCCTCCGCCTCCGCCTCCGCCTCCGCCTCCGTCTCCGCTCCTCCTCCTCTCCTCTCATCCTCCTCCGCTCTCCTCCTCCCTCGCCTCTCGCTCTCCTCCTCCGCTCCTCCTCCTCCGGCTCTCCTCCTCCTGCCTCCTCCTTGCCCTCCTCCTCCTCCCTCCTTCCTCCTCCTCCTCCTCTCTCCTCCTCCTCCTCCTTCCCTCTTCCTTCATCATCATCATCACTCCTCCTCCTCCTCCTCCCTCCTCCTTCCTCTCCCTCCTCCTCCTCCTCCTGCTCCTGCTCCCTCCTCCTCCTCCTGCTCCTGCTCCTCCTCCTCCTCCTCCTTCCTCCTCCTCCTGCTCCTGCTCCTCCTCCTCCTCCTCCTCCTCCTCCTCCTCCTCCTCCTCCTCCTCCTCCTCCTCCTCCTCCTCCTCCAGCGTCTTTTGCGGCTGCGGATGTCTCGGCTCTGAGGAGCCTTGAGAGGCCCTGGGTGTGCGAGATCCGCGGGGGGCCCGTTGTCGCTGAGCTTCAGAGGACCTCGGAGCTTTGGCCTAGGAGGCACAACAGCTGCGCTCAGAGCTGTCCACTGCGGGGCCCACTGGTGACAGCGCAGGCTGCACTCTGCGGACAGGGCCACCCGAGGCAGATGGCAACGGATGGGGAGCGCTCGGCTCCCTCTGGCATCGAGATTTTTTGTTGGCTGTCCCAGCACTGAGGTCCGTCGCCGCGAGTGCTGACTACCTACCAGACCACCCCAACCTAAGCCGAAGACCCGAGTTTGACCCGAATGTCAGGTTTGGGGGGGGGGGGTACGGGCTTCGCGTGTGGTTTCAGTGTTCCCCGACCCCCCCCACTGGAAATGGAGGGAAAGTTGACGCCTTCGGGTTGGGTTGGGGTGGTTTGGTGGGTGGTTTGGTGGGTGGTGAAATGCTGCCCGCCTGAGCTTCTCGCCGCCTGCCATACATACAGTCCCTCGGCCAGTGAAGACGGCCGTAGGAAGGGGTGCCAACGTACCTCCACAGCTCTGACCTTTACGCCTGAGGGCGCCATGCGACTATCCAGTGTTCTCCTCCTCCCTCCTCCCCTCCTCCCCTCCTCCCCTCCTCCCCTGCCCAACCCCCCTCGCCCTCCTCCAGCGGGACGCTCTGAGAGCGCTCTGTCCTCATCCTGGGCCCGCCGGGACCCGGATATCCGACGCCCCGAAGGCTCGGACCCCCGTCCCGGAGGGCGAGGTGACCTTTGGCCACCTCGCGGCCCCGAAGGCTCCGACCCCCGTGGCAGATGCCCGCCCGGGATCACCACGCTGCTGTCCTGGGGCCCGACAGGGGGCCCCCGAGACCAACCCCGAGGAGGAACGGGAGGGCCGACTGGACCATGCCGTCGCAGACTTCTGGCCGCGCCGTGCCGCCCTGGGGGCCCAAGAGCTCGCCATCGCTCGGACGTCCATTCCGTGTGCGTTTTTCGGTTTCGTGCGTGGTTTTTACCTAACAGCGAAGACTGATAGGTTTCTAGTAGGGTCAAAAGAGAGCATCATGACGCCCCAGGGGGGTCTGGGCGCGATCCGGGGAGGATGCCGGGGGGATGCCGGGGAACTCGTTTTAAGCAAACAGTAACGCACTTCGTGGTCTTCGAGTTCCCAGAACTCCATTCCTGGGCATGACTTTGAATGCCCGGAGCCAACTGTAGGCCACTTCGTGTTCTTCGTGTTCCCAGAACACCATTCCCGGGCCACATTTTGAATGCCCGGAGCCAACTGTAGGCCACTTCGTGTTCTTCGTGTTCCCAGAACACCATTCCCGGGCCACACTTTGAATGCCCGGAGCCAACTGTAGGCCACTTCGTGTTCTTCGTGCTCCCAGAACACCATTCCCAGGCTACATTTTGATTGCCCGGAGCCAACTGTGAGGCTGAGGCTGAGGCAGGCTGAGGCTGAGGCAGGCTGAGACTGAGCCTGAGGCAGGCTGAGGCTGAGGCTGAGGCTGAAGCTGAGGCAGGCTGAGGCTGAGGCTGAGGCTGAGGCTGAGGCTGTGGCTGAGGCTGAGTCAAGCTGAGGCTGAGGCAGGCTGAGGGCTGAGGCTGATGCAGGCTGAGGCTGAGAGGCTGACGCTGAGGCTGAGGCAGGCTGAGGCTGAGGCTGAGGCCGAGGCAGGCTGAGGCTGAGGCTGAGGCAAGCCGAGGCAGGCTGAGGCTGAGGCTGAGCTGAGGCAGGCTGAGGCTGAGGCTGAGGCTGTGGCTGAGGCTGAGGCAAGCTGCGGCTGAGGCAGGCTGAGGCTGAGGCTGCTGCAGGCTGAGGCTGAGGCAGGCTGAGGCTGAGGCTGAGGCAGGCTGAGGCTGAGGCTGAGGCCGAGGCAGGCTGAGGCTGAGGCCGAGGCAAGCCAGGCAGGCTGAGGCTGAGGCTGAAGCTGAGGCAGGCTGAGGCTGAGGCTGAGGCTGTGGGCTGAGGCTGAGGCAAGGCTGAGGCTGAGGCCGAGGCTGAGGCAGGCTGAGGCTGAGGCTGATGCAGGCTGAGGCTGAGAGGCTGACGCTGAGGCTGAGGCAGGCTGAGGCTGAGGCTGAGGCTGAGGCTGAGGCTGAGGCTGAGGCAGGCTGAGGCTGAGGCGAGGCTGAGGCTGAGGCTGAGGCAAGCTGCGGCTGAGGCAGGCTGAGGCTGAGGCAGGCTGAGGCTGAGGCTGAGGCTTAGGCTGAGGCTGAGGCTGAGGCCGAGGCATGCTGAGGCTGAGGCTGAGGCCGAGGCAGGCTGAGGCTGAGGCTGAAGCTGAGGCAGGCTGAGGCTGAGGCTGTGGCTGAGGCTGAGGCAAGCTGCGGCTGAGGCAGGCTGAGGCTGAGGCTGATGCAGGCTGAGGCTGAGGCAGGCTGAGGCTGAGGCTGAGGCAGGCTGAGGCTGAGGCTGAGGCCGAGGCAAGCCGAGGCAAGCCGAGGCAGGCTGAGGCTGCGACTGCGAGAACAGCAGAATTCTACAACTTGATTCTCACCTAAATCTTAAGGGGAATGCTTCCAGATATGCTTCTACACATCGTTGTTAGGTTGCTTTGCCGGGATAACTCGCCAAATGATCAAGGATGCTCCTCGATGGTCCTGGCCGAAGGAACAATACACACGTCCAAGCGATGCCAAGCCTGGGGGCCGATGCATCCCCCCCCGGAGGGGCGCGCGGACTTCGGCGCGGGATCCCTGCAGGCCGAAAAGCTGTCCCGCCGCCCCTCAGGGCGGCGAAGGATGGCTATCCCTGCAGGCCGAAAGGCTATCCCGCCTGTACCACCTCACGAGACCTCCTCAGGAGGAGGAGGAGGAGGAGGAGGAGGAGGAGGAGGAGGAGGAGGAGGAGGAGGAGGAGGAGGAGAGGCTCTTCGGTTCTCCGGCTCTCGAGACGACCCGGGCGCCCCTGCACCGGGCCGTGCCTCGGCTCTCGGGCCGTGCATCGGCTCTCCGGCGGCCGCTCGAGACGGCCTGGGCGCCCCCGGACGCCCCTCGACGAGGGGCAGCTGCCGGAGAGCACACCGAGAGCACCCCGAAGCTGGAACACCGCCGAGGGCCAACGACAACGCCCAGAGGCCTCGAGCCTCGCAAGCCGGAAACGTCCAACTGGTCATCGCTCGGACGTGCATTTCCTGTGCTTTTGTTCGGTCTCGTGCGTGGTTTTCGCCAAATGATCAAGGATGCTAACATGCACACGTCCGAGCGATGCCAAGCCAACCCCTGGCCCGTGAATGGGGCCGGCCCGGCCCGGGCGGTGTGCCGGTGCGCAGCTGCCGCCCCCCGATCTACGACTGCGCGGACGCTGCGCGGTGCAGGGGCGGCACTGCGTGGCTGCGCGGTGCCCCGCTCGCGTCGGCGGGGCGGGCGTGTGGGCAGACGTCGGTTGCACGCAAGAGCAGCCCGGGGCAAGCGCGGCCTTCCCAGACGTGCTCGCGTCGTGAGGGCAGCAGCGGCGGGAGGTGTTCGGCCGCTCTGGGCCTCTGCCGGCCCGGGGGGCCGCCAACACAACGACTCGGGGTGACGTGCGGGCCCTCGAGAGGGTCTTCGGGTTTCCGGGGGCCGCGTGCTGGAAACATCCGCCGACCCTGTCGGCGTGTGGACTTCTTCGTCGTCGTCGCCGTCGTCGCCGTCGTCGTCGCCGCCGCCGCCGTCGTCGTCGTGGTCGTCGTCGTCGTCGTCGTCGTCGTCGTCGTCGTGGTCGTCGTAGTCGTGGTCGTGGTCGTGGTCGTGGTCGTGGTCGTGGTCGTGGTCGTCGTCGTGGTCGTGGTCGTGGTCGTCGTCGTCGTCGTCGTCGTCGTCGCACGGGGCAAGCAGGCCTCGCTTGAGGCGAAGTCCGACCAGAACCCCGAGGGGGAACCTGACCATGGCGACGAAGGCTCTCCGTGACGAGGGGCGGGACCGACATCTGCTGCTCCCCCGCCGGAAGGGTGGCCGCTCGAAGCTCGGCAGGCAAAGGGCGGCCGGGCAGGCGGCGCACGGCTGCCGCGCCCGCTGCGGCTGCGCGCTGCCTGCACAGTGCTGCCCGCGCGGTCTGGAACTCGGCGGCGGGCGGAGGGGGGGCGGCGGGCCGTCCCAGAAGGATCGGAAGCCCCCCCACCCTGGCTCCTGATCCGCCGTACTTTGGATGATTTTCCGACCTAAAATTGTTTCGGAAATCGACGCCAAAGGAGCCTCAAGGGCGGAAATCGACGCTCAAAGCGGCCTCAAAAAGTAGGGCGGCAATTTCCGCCCTACTTTCGAAATCGCCCAAAGTAGGGCGGATCAGGAGTCAGGGCAGTCTTCTGAGACGTTTCCCGAGCCCCCCCGAAGACGCAACGGGCTTCTCGGAAGGCGCGGGGGCTTCTGGGGAGCCCCGCCGCCTTCTGAAAAAAAAGCGTGGTCCGTTGCATTTCTCCCCTCGCCCGCCGCCGAAAAACGGCCAAAAACATCCCGTCTGGATGTTTTTCAAGACGCTGACACGTCTGGGGCTGCTCTTACCCAGCACGAGGAAGAAGAGGAGGACGAAAACGAGGAAGAGGAGGAAGGAGGGAAGGCGGATATGGGATGGGGGGAGGGGGAGGGCGGAAGAAACACGACCAGCACGGCACGGAACGTCAATTTCGTCGCCGCTGAAATCAGGCAAGGCAGCGCCGTGTCGTGACGCGCCGTGCCCAGCAACTGCTTCGAAACACGGGCAGCCCTTTCTCTGCAGTATGGGCGCTCGAAGCGCCTCCTTTATGAGAGTCGAGCCCCTTGCAACCCCTGTTTTTAGGGAAGATGGCCGCCCAAATTGCGCAACTGCTTGACGAGCGCACGCGTTGGCCATGCGCTTCGAACGAATACATGCCCAGCAACGTCCCCATTTTGAGAAGCTGTGACACCGCGCAGCTGTGACGCAGAGCCACCCTCCACCCGCGCAGCTGCGACGCATGACCACGTCTCAAGCAAGAACCTGATGTTGAGAAGGCGTCCTCCTCCTCCTGCTGCTCCTCCTCCGCCACCGTCCCCGCCCCCTCTTCCTCCTCCCTTTTCCTTTACGCGGCGCCGGCATGTCGAGCTGCTGGGCGTTCGCTGGCAGGCTTGCGAACACGTTTAAATGACGGACTTTACATGGGCTCCGTCAGACCCGTGGCTCTGCCAGCGAATCAACTTGGGCCGAGGGGTTGCACGCGAGGGCGCGACTTTGCCCCGACGCCGGACTGGACGCTCACGGGGGATCTTGTCCCCGTGGCCCCAGGCGGGCGCGCAGGCTCAGCGCGCGGGGGCGGCCCGGGGTTCGGCCCGGGCGCCTGGCGGCAGCGGCGGGGCGCAGGCGGCGGCGGTGCTGCGGGCAGGCGGCGCCAGCGGCCTCGGCTCGCGCCGTGCCTGAACCGGCCGCCGCCGCGGCGTGGGCCTCCCGTGCCAGGTTCGCGGTGGCCGCCACCCCCGCCTCGACGTCCAGGCCCGCGCGCAGTCAGGCGAGGATGGCCGCCGTCGGGGGGTGGGGCGCAGCGGTTCTCACGTACCGACCGCGCTCCGCCGTGTCCCCCCCGCCCCGCTACGCAGAAGATCGGCCCCCAGTGGGGGGGCGCCCACCGCGGACGACGACAGCGACGACGACGACGACGACGACGACGACGACGACGACGACGACGACGACGACGACGACGACGACGACTGCGGCGGCGACGGCGGCGGCGGCGACGGCGACGATGGCGACGACGGCGACGACGATGATGACGACGGCGGCGACGACGACGACGGCGACGACGACGACGGCGACGACGACGGCGACGATGGCGGCGGCGGCGACGGCGGCAGTGACGATGACCAGCCCCCGGCCCCCCGAATCATGGCCAGGGGTTGACCGCGCGCGTGCTGCTTGGCTGGGGCTGAGGCCGGGGCTGCTGAATTCCGCGGGGGGCTGTGGCAGCCGGGTTCTGGCCGCGCTCGTCGGCCGCTGGGGGCGTTCCGCGGGGGCCCGCCCTGCGGGGCCCGAGGTCCTCGGACTTTCTCCGGGGCGCCTGAACAGCCTTCAGAAAAATCCTGGGGCGAGCGCCCCGACAGATTTCCCAAGAAATCGAGGCGTTGGCCCCAAGTTTTCTGCGTCTGGCCAAAACCCCCGGGGGCCCGCACCCTCGCCGCCCTCTGCCGCGGCGGGCCGAGGCAGCTGGTTTCCGGCTGCGCCCGCCGTCCGCCAGGGGCGTGTGACTGGAGGCTAGGTCGGCGCCCTCGCCGTCCTCGGCGTCGGCGCCCTCAGCCCGCGCCAGCGCTGCATCTCGGGCACCCCCGCCAGAGCACTGCGGACCAGCTCGCAAAGTAGGCCGCGATCTTGCCGCACTCGCAAGGGAAAGTAGGACCTGCGCCAGGCAGCTGCAGCACCCCCGGACGGCTATCTTCGCCCGCTGGACCGCGGGGCTGTCTCCGCGATGCGTTCGCAACGCCGGTGACCTCCGCGCGGCCCTGGCGATGGCCTGGAGCTCCGCGACATAGAAGCCGGCCGCCGCGACCGAGCCGCAGTCCTAGTAGTATATTGGGGCGCTCGAACATGATGTTGGCGCCGAAGCGAGCGCCGTGCCTGGTCTCCGTCCACTGACGGTCGTCCGGGAGCACAGTCCTGGGGCAACCCAGCTTGTAGATCCCCCAGAAGTTCTTGGAACCGAAGACGCTCAGGCACTTGAGCTTCCAGATCTCCGTAGCCGCGACCCGCTTGTTGCGCCTCTTCTGGTTGGCGCCCTTCGTGCGAATGGAGTGGGGGTTCTTGAGGACCCTCTGGAGAAACGCCGTCTTGGCCGCTGCCGACCATAACCGTTCCGCCGCATTCTCTCCGAGTTGTAAGACGTGGTGAAGAACTCGTACAGCCGCCGCCCTCTGGCTGTCATCCACGCCCACGCTTGCTCCAGCTTCTAGCGGACAGCGCCCGTGGTGGAAACCGCCCCCGATGCTGCAAATGCCTGCACGAACACCGTCGATATGCACAGCGCGAGAACGTGCGCAGTATTGGTCTTCCGGTCGGGCCCGCTTTCTTCCATGATGGCTTTGATGTCTTTCGTGACTGCATCCTCTGCGAAGAAATAAATCTTCATCTGACCCAAGAGCTGCCTGTACTTAAGCTGGGCCCTTTTGACGTACGCGGCCGGCGTGTCCTGGAACTGCAGATCGACCTCTTCGTCGACTTACCCTGGCATGCACCCGTCGTGAGTCCCCGTCTCGGCGCACGCACAGTGGCACACCATGATTCTCAGGAGCGCGTCGACCTGCTTCCTCATGTCCTGCCCGCAGTAGGAGCACGGGCGTCTGGCCTCGAAAGGCACCCTCATCCAGCGCCAGCTGGGCGGCCCCTGGTGTTCCTGCTGACCGCGCGGGGGCGCAGGGGGCCGCTCTGTCGCTGGAGGGGGGAAAGGAGGGGCGGCTGGCCCGAGGCGCGCGAGGGTGAGTGAGAGAGAGAGGTGGGGCAGCCGGCCCCGGGCAGGGGGACCCCTTGGCTCCTCCACTTCGTCCTGTTCTTCCTCCTCCTCCTCCGCCTCCGCCTCCTCCTCCTCCGCCTCCACCTCCTCCGCCTCCTCCTCCTCTCCCTCGTCATCTGTCCCTGTAACTGTTACAAGTTTTCACGACAAATGCGCGCGGCGCTGAGGCGGGAGCCCCATTTTGAAAAGGAACCGCCCTCCATCCTTGTGCCTGCCCACATTGCTGAATAACGAATGCGCGCGGCGCATCAGCAAAAGTCTTATTTTTCAACCACCCAACATCCTTCCTTGCAACGTCTTATCATGCTTTGAAGCGGATATGCGCCGCACTACGGTGGGAGCTCCATGTTGGAAACGGTCCGCCATCCATCCTTATAGCCAGTGCAGGGCGCGCGGCGCACAGGCGAGAGCGACATTCTGACAACCGCCCGTCCTCCATCCTGTCAGCTCCTGCAGACGTTGAAGACGGATGGGCGTGGCGCTCAGGCGAAAGATCCATTTTGATGATGCCTCGCCCTCCCTTCCGACAACTTCCGAGAGTACAGTGGGTTCGTGCGGCGTCGGCGCGCGCGAAGGTTCTTGACACCGCGTCGATCGTTCAACCTTGAATCGATCGCGGCCCCAAGCGTTATCGTGTCCCTCGGTGGATCCGCGTCGCAGAATTCAACCATGAACGCCTTCGCCGGCGTCGCCAGCGTGCCAACGCCGCATGAACCTACCGTACCACGCTTGAGGATCAGATTCGGCTACACGCAAGAGTGACCCCGGGCAAGAGTGACCTTTGGTGACCGCGGCTTCTTGGGGGGCCGCGGTGGAGGCCAAACCTGGGCGCGCAAGCCGCTGCTGCCGCTTCGCTCTCGGCCATCCGAGGGCCAATCTGTGCCCACACCAAAGGTCACTCCTCCTCCTCCTCCTCCTCCTCCTCCTCCTCCTCTCCTCCTCCTCCTCCTCCTCCTCCTCCTCCTCCTCCTCCTCCTCCTCCTCTCTACGTCTAGTCGACAGATATTGTGAGGAAGTCTCTGGCGAAGTGCCCGGCCCACCCTGCCGACTTGCCCGGAGGGCAGGCGGAATGAGAAGGCGCTGCCGCCACCGAGAGCGGACCACCCATCCACCTCAGGCCGCGGGGGGCGCACCGGGTCCGCGGCCGCGCCTCTCGGGACGCCGTCGACGGAGTCGTGGGAGCCAAGCGCGGACGAGGAGGGGTAACTAGGAATGGAGGTAGCTAGGAAGGGAGGTGGAGGAGAGGTAAGTAGGAAGGGAGGGGTGGAGGAGAGGTAACCAGGAAGGGAGGTACTAGGGGTAACGAGGAGAGGTGGAGGAGAGGCAACCAGGAAGGGAGGGATGGGCGTCGGACGTGTGCCGGAGAGCCGCGTCGAGCGGCCGACTCTCCGTCCGCCGCGTCCGCTCAAGCACGAGCGAGGGCCAGACAAAAAAGTTTAAGCGAGCGAAGGCTGGCCTAAAAAGTTTGCCGAGGGTCAGGAGGTGAGCTCGGGGTGTGGAGAACCGGCCACATCGCTCGGACGTCCATTCCCTCTGCTTTTTCTTCGGTCTCGTGCGTGTGGTTTTTGTTCGCCAAGGGATCCACTCCTCGAGGGTCCTCGCCGAGGAAAAAAAAAAAAAACGCACACGTCCGAGCGATGCCAGGAGAACCAGGGGGGGGAGGCCCGCGGCGCGACGGCTCCTCCCCCCCAAGGCCTCCGACGATCCGGGCTGCTCCGCTGGCGCTCTCTCCTCGACGTGGGCCGCGGGGGGCCGTTCTCGAGCCGCTGGGGCTGTCAAAAAACGGATCTGGGCCGAAGAACGACCCCTGGGACAGACGATTGGAGGGGCCCACAAGCACACAAACATAAATACACACGAACAGCACACAAATCCCCATACGTTCCCATATGTTCTGGGTTTCTGCCTTCCCCCCCCCACTTCCCACATTTTCCGATCTTTTCTGGGGAATCGACGATTAATTGTGTCTGTGTGTTTCTTTCCCTCCTGAGCGATCTGGACCCCTGGGGCCGCGGATGGACAACATCGGAGCGGCGCGTGCGTCCGGGTCCTCCCACTCCTACCTGTGGGTCGGGCATGCCTCCCTGCACGGGGGGCCTGGGGCGAAAGAGCAAAAATGCCCCGAAATATCTTACACAGTCAAGACGAGCAAAAACACGTCCCCCGACGGTTGCTTGGACCATTTCTGAATTTTCCTCCTGAAGAGGGGCGTCCCCGATTCCATCCTGTACTCGGGAGCGGCCAAGAGGGGGGTGTCCAAGAGGGGGGGGGGGTGCAAATCATGACCGGCGGCATGTGCGCGGCCCAGCGGGGGGGGGCCAGGGACGTAATGAAATAAGAAGAGGCGCCATGAAAGATGGGGAAATGTCATGGCCCCCGCCATGATATCCACCCCCCCCTGATCATCACCCCCTCCTTTTCCGCCCCCGAGATACTGCCCCGCATCCGCCACCAGCCCCGCCAGCTCCTGCCCCTCCTGCGCCTCCAGTGCAGTCGGGGCCTTGACCTGAGGAACCCAACATGAGGAACGAGGCCCCTTTTCTTTCCATAAGCTAAACTTCGACTCCCGATCGAAAACAGAAGGAAAACCTGAGGCAAGCTGCGAAACACTTAAGGAACGCGGAGCCCCTCCCCAACGAAAAGGGTTCCTTTCAGGGGGACGTAAAACCTGGGTACAAGGGACTCGGAAATCCCCGACGAAGTCGTCAAAAAAATGACGAGGCCGAGCCTGCATTTTGACGAGGCCTCCCGCTGCAGACATCCCACGAAACTCCTCCTCGTCAAAATCCGAGGCGCGGTCGTCAAAAAACGATGGCGAACCCGAGTCCTGGCAAATCCGGGTCTTACGCTCCCCCGATCCTTCTTCAGCGCCCCGACTGTACCCCCTCCGCGGGCCCCGGCGGCCGCCCGAGCCCTCCTCCCCGGCCGCGCCCGGACACCGCGGCGACCCCCTCGGGAGGGGGGAGCCCCACGGGAGGCCCAGCCGCACTGGCGAGCAGGGGCCGCCAAGGGGCCCGAGGACACACAAACAAGTGCACACAAATCACAGGATCCCCCATATTTTCCCACCTTTTCTGGGCTCCTGCCTTCCCGCCCAACTCCCATCCTGCTCCCCATATCTTCTCGGGGGAATCGACGACTGACTGTCTGTCTGTGTGTGGCTTTTTCCCCCGAGATCGTTCCATCTGGCGGATTCCGGGGGTCCGGAGCCCAGAAAAGTTGTCATCTCTTGGGGGGCGCATTTTTTACTTCCGCCACCCTCCGCCGCCGCCGGCGGGGGCGGCCTCGTCGGAACTCCGCCGGCCTTCCGCCGAGGCAGAGATGACTGCCCCGTCGACCCTCGAAGACGGGGCCATTTCTGGAGCGCGTCGTGTGGGCATGCAGCGCGACAGGATCACGGAGATGCGCGGCAAGGATTGACTACCTACCAGACCACCCCAACCCAACCCGAAGACCCGAATTTCGGGTTGGGGGGGTAAGGGTTCCACGCGTGTTTTTTCGATGTTCCCCGACCCCCCCCACGGGAAATCGACGGTAAATTTGAGCCTTCGGGTTGGGTTGGGGTGGCTTGGTGGGTGGTGAAGGATGGAAGGACCTTGGACGCCCAAGTTGAAGCGCCGTTTGGGCGAGAGTGGCCAGCGATGGTGGCTGAGGATGCGCCGGAGAGGGAAGGATGCAAGGGTGCCCTTGGAAATCTACTCATCCGTCTGATCCAGTTCGGCGGACTTTCTGCGACAGAGATGGCATGGCACTCACGCCGTATCAGTAAGCGTCGGCTAAGAAATACCAGGAGGCTTGAGCGCGGCTTTCCGATGCGTCACTCGCCGAAGAGTCCATGCGCGTGCAGTGAAACATGTTGTCAATCCCATCCCAGCGACCGCACTGAACGACCCTATCCTCCTCCTCCTCCTCCTCCTCCTTCTCCTCCTCCTCCTCGTCCTCTTTGTCCTGTCGCATGCCTACCCGAAACAACTCGCCTTGAGCCGTGCTTCCACGATTGGCCATCATCAACACCATGATCACATGATGCTCAGCGCTTCTCATTGCACCTCCCTGAGATTACTCCCTACCTAGGCTCTGCCTAGAAGGGTTCTTACTCTCTGGGCTTGAAGGGGCCGGGCAGTGGAAAGCGCCCCGGGCGGTTCCCCCAGTATCCGCCCCGCGGTTCCCCCAGTTACGTCCCCTTAGCTTAGCGTTGCTTATCGCATGTTAGCTTAGTTTATTTCATCTTAGCTTAGCTTAGCTTCATCTTAGCTAAGGTTTATCTTAGCTTAACTTACATTCATCTTGGCTTCGCTGAGCTTTAGCATAGCATAGCATAGCATAGCATAGCATAGCATAACGCAGCACAGCATATCATAGCATAGCCCAGCATAGCATAGCATAGCGCAGCATATCATAGCATAGCATAGCATAGCGCAGCACAGCACAGCACAGCATAGCATAGCATAGCGCAGCTTAGCATAGCATAGCATAGCATAGCTTAGCATAGCACAGCGCAGCATGACATAACATAGCATAGTTTAGCATAGCATAGCATAGCATATTGCAGCATAGCATAGCATAGCATAGCATAGCCTAGCATAGCGCAGCATAGCATGGCATAGCATAGCATAGCATATCATAGCAACTAATGCTGCTTTCCTAGGGGCTCCAACTTCTAGGTAGGGTCGCACTGGGGTAATTCCTGACCCCTGCTCACGCGCTGCATCTGCCCCCGATGCCAAACGAGCCCTGCGCAACTCCAGCGCGCTCCTCTGACGTCTGACCCAGGCGGGCCAGAGATGCGCAACAGGGAAACACCAGGGAGAGGAGGAGAAGGTGGTCCTATTGTCGGCTTCCGTGCACCAGAAGAGAGTCGGGGCCTCACCTTAGCCGACCATCTGAGGATGCGCCAAAAAAGCCGAGGAAAAACGCTGCAATGAGTGGCACTGAAACGTGAGGTCCTTGATGCAGGTCGTGTCTCTTCACAAGACAGGCCCTGCGCAAAACGCTGCTCAGAAAGCACGAGCGCGAGGCACAACGCAGAAGTACGTCGCACAGAGCGTAGGGGTGGGCTGACACTCCCGAGATCTGTGTGGCAGCGTCTCTGCTGAAAGCTTCGTCGGATTCCCTTACAGCAATGCATGATCCTGCATCTCCTTTCAGTGCTTCTGCTGCTCTTTCCCTTCCTTTCCCCGATCCTGCCATCACGTGCCCACACGGTGTGAGCGACAGCATGTAGTGGTATTACTCTGCGACAGTTTTGCGAGTTCAGCGCCAAGGCTCGCAGAGAGGGTCCTCTCTTGAGGTGCAAGCTGGCGTTCAAAAAACAGAAGTTGGGGTGAAGGGTCCCAGCAAGACATCCAAAGCAAGAGTTTGATGAAACTACGACGCCACATAGTGTACAGCATGCAAAGTGTCACTGCAGCGAATGTTCATCTGAAGGGCGTCACCCTCTGTCACCCAGCCCCTTCGGATGGGCTCGTAGCTTGGGGTCGTTGGGTTGGAAGCGTGTTCGGGCCTCCCTGGAAAAAAACATGTGTTGCATTGCTGGGCCGGTTTTCAGACCTGAATCGTTTTGTTGACGCCCCCGAGGCCTGGCGAGGGCCCCCGGAGGCCGAAAACGGCTGCAAACCCGCCGCTCCAATGTTTGCTGGAGCGTCGGACCTCTGGGTCCGCCTCGTCACTCTCCTCCTCGTCCTCGCCATCCCCCGTCGTCCTCTTCCTCCTCGTCCTTGTCCTCGTCGTCGTCGTCCTCCTCCTCCTCGGATCTCCAGGGAGGACTGGATGTAGACCGGGGGACCGCCCCAGAGCACCCCGCGGCCGGCCAGACCCCGCCGACGCAACCGGGAGCGTCGACGCGCGGGGCGGCGCGGCCCCACTGGCTGCATGCATACTGATGGAAGGCGAAGATGAGCTGGAGATGAAGGGGTCATGGGCCGGGAAGGGGGGCAACAAGAGGAGGAGGAGCAGGAGCAGGAGCAGGAGCAGGAGCGAGAGGAGGAGGAAGAGGAGGAGGAGGAGGAGGAGGAGGAGCAGAAGGAGGAGGAGGAGGAGGAGGAGGAGCAGAAGCAGGAGGAGGAGGAGGAGGAGCAGAAGCAGGAGGAGGAGGAGGAGGAGGAGGAGGAGCAGAAGCAGGAGGAGGAACTCGCTGGAGGTCTGCCTCGCCTGGAAGCGCTCCACTCTGCGTTGCCCCCGGTTAAAAAGCCGCGCGCAGGCCGCCGCGCCAAGGCACGCGCGCGCCATCCATGTGGGCGCGGGCCCGGGCGGCGAGGTCCCCTGTCTGTGAAGGGTCGCTGGCGCCATCTGTGCCGCGGCCGGCGCCCCATTGGAGGCGAATGGCCGGCGCTTCGCGGCGGAGTCGGGGGTGGGGGACGAGAGAGAGGAGTCGGGGCGGGGCAGGGACGGAGGAGAGGAGGAGAAGGGACGGGAGGGAGGGCGCGGCGGCGGGGCTGGGAGCCGGGGGGGGGGGGGAGGGAGAAGGGGGGGGGGGCCGAAGGAGTGGGGGGGGGGAGGCCCAGGGGGGCGGGGGCGGAGCAGGTCGGGGCGGAGAGGAGGCCGGGAGCCAGTGGCGGCAGGCGAGCTCGTGGCAGGCCAGGGCGGCGGGGGCCCCGGGCAGCGGCAGACCGCGGTCGCGGCGCACATCTGGGCAGCGGGCTTTCGATGCGCAGGAGGCGCCCGCGCACTGCCGCCCTGCCCGTCCAGGGCCGTCCTGGGCCGCTGGCGCACGCCCATCCGAGGGCTCAGGATCAGGGCGACGAAGCCCGAACCCCGAACCCAGTGTGTACGCCACGCCCTCCTGGCTTGGTCAGGAGGGCGGGGCCCAGGAAGTGCCCGGCCAGTGGGCAGTGGGTGTGTCTAGACTTCGTCGCCCGAAGGATGGCCCCGGCCAGGCATCGTGACTGTGCACGCATGCCTTCTGCGCAGCGTGGGGCAATCAGCGTCCACAGCAAGGCAAGGCAGCGACCAGTGGCCACGGCAACGGCTCGCGGCCAACCGGCGGCAGCAGCCAGCTGCCGCGCAGAGGCAGGGCAGCGGCTGGCGGCGGCGGCGGCAACCAGCACTCGCAGCAAAGCAGGACAGCGGCAGGTGGTGGCATCCAGCGCCTCCGGCAAGACATGGCAGACACTGTGCACGACTGCTCCTGAAAAACAATGTGTATTGTGCGCTCTGTATGTTGACATGCTCGTGCGAGTAACGTGTTTGGTACGGCGTCGACATGCGCGCACGCGTGCGGATGTGTTGCGTTTCTGGCATGGGCAAAACGTTACTGCGAAATCATAGGTTGGCGATGCTAGTAGTTGACCAGGATGGGGTGGTCCGTACCAGGCTTTGCTGTGATGGCATGACCTCAGATGGAAAATGAATGATTGGGCAGAATCGCTGTGATGGCATGACCCCGCATGGAAAATGAACGATAGGGCCAGAATCGCGTGCAATTTGCAGTGTCCAGGAGGTGCTGGCAACCCAGGGGGGAGAGAGGTACAGTCGGGGCGTTGACCTAAGGAACCCTAAATAAGGAACGAGGCCCCTTTTTCCATAAGTTAAGCTCCGAATTCCCATCGAATACATAAGGAAAACCTGATGCAAGCTACGAAACAATTAAGGCACACCGAGCCCCTCCCCAACGAAAAGGGTTCCTTCTCCAGGGCCCCGGCTGTAGAGTCTGTCCTTCCCTTCAGATGAGAAAGCCACGCGCTGCAAGCCATCGGGGCGCCCACCGGGCGCCCACTGGCGGGCACCCGGCGCCGCCTTCGCGTACCCCCCCGGCGCGGGGCGCGCCCACGGGGGGGCACCAGCCGAAACCTCGGCACTCACACAGACAAAAACGCACGCGCACACGCACACGCACGCGCACGCGCACGCGCACGCGCACACGCACGCGCACACGCACACGCACACGCACACGCACACGCGCACGCACACGCACACGCACACGCACGCGCACGCGCACACGCACACGCGCACGCACACGCACACGCACGCGCACGCGCACGCGCACACCCGCGAGGGCGCCCGCGAGCGAAGCCTCGGCGTGCGCCCCGGCCGCGCAGGGCGCCCGCCGCCGCCGACGAGGCGCCCGCGGGCGGGCACCGAGCGGAAGCTCGGTCGGCATCGCCCCCAGTCCTCCTCCTCCTCCTCCTCCTCCTCCTCCTCCTCCTCCTCCTCCTCGTCCTCCTCCTCCTCCTTCCTCCTCTCCTCCTCCTCCTCCTCCTCTCCTCCTCCTCCTCCTCCTCCTCCTTCCTCCTCCTCCTCCCCCTCCTCCTCCTCCTCCTCCCCCTCCTCCTCCTCCTCCCCCCCGCGTGGGGCGCCCACGAGGCGCTCGCTGGCGGGCACGGGGGCGAAGCCTCGGCAGCGCCCCCACGCGCGGGGCGCCTGCGCGGCGCCCGTGGGCGGGCGCCGGCCGAAGGCCCGCCTGGGCCCCCCGAGGCGTCAGCACGGTCTGGGGAACGAAAGAGAGCGCGTCCAGGGGGGCCGAGGAGTCCGGAGCATAGAAGTACAAAGCACTGACATCTGAAGGGGAGAGCGAGAGAGAGAGAGAGAGGAAGAAAGAGAGAGAGAGAGAAAGAAGAAAGAGAGAGAGAGAGAGAGGGAGAGAGAAAGAGAGAGGAGGGGCGGGGAGAGGGAGAGGGAGAGGGAATGTGCAGAGTTCTCGGCCGCAGAATCTGCAGAGCGCCACGCAAACTGGCCCCCTTGGGGGGAAGAGCACGGCCCCTGCCGCCTGGCCACTCGTGGCAACCGCCCCGCGGTGGTGTGACGCCTCTGGTGGTGCTGGGAAACGGAATCCACCGATCCGGCGTGTGAGTTTCTGAGAGCGTGGGCTTGAGCTCGCTCAAGCTTCGCTCTGCGGGGGGGGGGGGGCCTCCGCCCCGCGGTGGTGTGACGCCGCTGGTGGTGCTGGGAAGCGGAATGCCCCCTTTCTGGAGACGACACGGGCTCTGGCGCTGCGAGCCCTGCTGCGCCGACTCCGATGCCGCGGGCCAGCGACGCAGCCACAGAAGGGCCAGGCGCCGCACCTGTTGAAGAAAGAGGCGGTGCGAGGGAGCCGTGCGCATGGAAAACGCGTGGGCAGGAGGAGCGAATAGGGATGGCACTGAAGAGGCTGCAGGAAGAGAGAGAGAGAGAGAGAGCGAGAAAAAAAGGGGCAGAAAGAGAGAGAGAGATGACTTACGCGGGCTCGGTGGATATGGGGGAGGGAAAAGCATAATGCGAGGGGTGGACGCACTGGGATGAAGGGGCAAAGGTGAGAGAGCGCACCAGAGCGGGAAGCAGAGGGGGAAGAATCGGGGGAAGGAGAGTGGGGATTACATACGCATATGTGCATACACACATGTATACAGGCATCCAGACAAGGAAAGAGAGAGAGAGAGGGAGAGAGAGAAAGAGGGGGCGGAGAGAGAGAGAGGGAGAGAGAGAGGGAGAGTGGGAGAGAGATAGAGAGAGAGAAAGAGAGAATGTGTGTGTGTGGTGCGTGCCCAGGCTCATGCAAAACATAATGCAAGATGCGTGCAGCGCGTGCGTGCCCAGGTTCATGCAACACAGAATGCAAGATGTGTGTGTGTGTGTCGCACGATTTGTGTATGGTGTGTGTGTGTGTGTGTTGTGTGTGGTGTGTGCTGTGTGTGTGTGCTGTGTGTTGTGTGTTGCGTGTGTTGTGTGTGTTGCGTATGTTGTGTATTGTGTGTGATATAAATGTGTGTATGTGTGTGTGTGTGCGTGCGTGCGCGTGTGCGTGTGTGCCAATGTTGTGTTCTCTCTCTGTGTGTGTGTGTGTGCGTCTTCTGGGTGTGTTTTGACTGTGCAGCGTACGTGCGCCATGTGTGCGTGCTCTGTGCTCTGTGCTCCGTGCTCTGTCCGCTGTGTGGGTTGTGTGTGTTGTCTGTGCCCTCCTCCTCCTCCTCCTCCTCCTCGGTCAGTTTGTTGTCACCACCCCTTCCCGGCTTCTTCGCGCCGCGCCCTCCCGCCGCCCCCTCACGTGCCAGCCCCGCCGGCCAGGCCTCACGTGACAGCCTCTGCGCCAGCGGCCCGCCTCTCGCCATCTCGGGAGGCCGGGGGGCAGCGCCCGCGGCGTGGAGCCCGGCGCCTCGCCGCCCTCCCGGTCCTCCTCCTCCTCCGCCTCCTCCTCGAACCTCCTCCTCCTCCTCCTCCTCCTCCTCCTCCTCCTCCTCCTCCTCCTCCCTCCTACCCCCCTCCTCCTCCTACTACCCCTCCTCCTCCTCCTCCTCTTTCTCCTCCTCCTCTTCCTCCTCCTGGTCCTCCAACCTCCTCCTTCCCCTCCTCCCCAACGCGGGCTTCTGCGCTGCAGGCTTGCTCTGGTGCTTCGTACTTCTATTCGCCGTGCGCCCTTTGGCGTGGCACTGCTCTCTTCTCAGCTTTCGTCTTGGCGTCTTGCGCCTTGACATTGCTCAGCTCGTCAAATTTCGTCTTGACGTCTTTCGCCTTGCCGCCCTTCGTCTTGTCGTCGTCTTTGTTCAGCTTTCGTCTCGAAGTCTTGCATCTTTCCACCTCGCGCTACCGACCGGGCAGGTCCCTCGGTTTGTTTGTACCCAAGGCCATCCGCGCCCGGCTGTGCTGATGCTGTACCTCCACCCCTCAGGCCGCCGATCGGGCACCACCCACGGTCTGGCGTGCCACGTCCCTGCCGCCTACGCCGGGATGGCTGATGTCGGTAGATTTCTGCATCCTCAGCGATGCCCCAGGTCCCAGCCGTCGCGTGACGTCGCGTGCACTGAGCGTTGACTTACTCCGCCTCGTCACTGCGCGTGAGGCCGCTGCCGCCCCCAAAAAGTGTGTGTGTGTGTGTGTGTGTGTGTGTGTTCCGCCAGCGCAGTCGCTCTGCCTAGCCGCCGACGCAAAATGTGTGTGTTGTCTGCATGTGTTCTGTAACATGTTGTGTGTACGTGTGTACGTGTGTGCGTCTGTGTTCTGTGTTCTGCGTGTATGTTCAGTGTGGTTTGTGTGTGATGTATTGTTTGTGAGTGTGTTCTGTGTTTTTTGTGTTGAGTGTTTTGTGTGTATGTTGTGTGTGTTCTGTGTTCTGTGAGCTGTGTGTTATGTGGGTTGTGCGTGTTGTGTTCGTGTGTGTGCGTTCTGTGTGTGTGTGTGTGCTAAACGTCGGGGCTCGATTGGCGAGAATGTCTCACGCGAAATCCCCTTTTCCTAAGAATCGGGTGCAAAATCATTGGGTTCCCCTGTGTGTTTTGAAGGTGTCGCATTCGTATGGTTGGAAGAGTGCGCTTTTGGACCGTGACGTCGCGATCTGCCTGAGGGGTGCGTCCGGTGCCCAGATTTGTGAGGATGTCCCAAGCGAGCTGACTGGAGAAAGAAAGAAGGCTTCAACTAATCGCCTGTGCGCCCTGCTCCCCCGCGATATATATATATATATATATATATGTATATGTATATATGTGTGTTTTGTATCTATATATATATATATATATATATATATATATATATATATGTATATATATACACATACACACATACTCTCTTTTCTATGTTTTACATTCTGGGACCCTGGGACCCCCCCCCCAAAAAAAACAGGACCCCTCCGGGTCCTTGGCCCTGGGGGCACCACGGGCGCTTTTCCAGACGGTCCCCTGTGCTTTCCAGTGCTCCGGAAGCCCCTGCTGGGCCTAAGCAACTGGCCCAAATCGGTCAGGAGGGCGGCCGGACGGCGACCAAAAGAACCCCCCCAAAGGCATTCGAAACGCCAAAAACATTGGAAATGCCCGGTTTTCCGGGCGTCTGGGATCGCCCACGAAGACAACAAATCGCTCCGAATTTAACTAAGAGGGCTTCCGGGCAGTTCAAAAGCAGCCCCAAGACGGCCCAACAGGGCCCCAAGAGGGCCCGGAGAGCCCCATGACGGCCCAAAATGGCCCCAAAACGCCTTCCGAATCATTCCAAATCGTGACCCGGTCGTTCAGGGAAACCGCGGTTGTAAGCAGGCTGGCCAGGGAAAGCCCCCAGAGGCCCCCAGAAGGAACCCAGGAGGCTTCCACAGGGCCCCAGCCAACCCTGAAAACCCTTCGTGCGACTTCCATACAGCTCACCTGAGATGGGCCTCCGCAAAACGAACTGCAGATGGGGGCGAACTCGCATGGTAGTACGAGAACGAAGAAGAGGAAAAGAAAGCATGAGGGACAAATAATGAATAACATGATTACAACGACGATACCAGACAAGGCAGCAACGAATGATCGTTACATGCTCAGTTTTCTCCTGCCTGCACGCTAAACCACCTGACTGCACGCCAAACCCCAATGATCAAACATGCATGGCGCGACGCGCCACTGCAGTCTTGTACTTGCACAGAACATATTTAAATCTATAGATATAGCTACCAACGTGGACCCCATAACAAGCATTTCTCGCAGCATACGTTGCGCAATATCAGTGGCATATTCGAGGTGGTGCAAACTACGTGGTGCAATAAAGGCGGTTCAAGCAACCTTGTGCAATCTACGTTGGGCAATATACGCTTTGCAATCTCTCTGGGGCAATCTATATGGTGCAGTTATTTGTAGGTTATTTGGGCACACGATTTTGAAATCCTTCCGAAACCGATGGGTTTTGAAGGATTTCGGCATACGCGCGCGACGACGCGCGCGTCTGCACTTCGTCCCATTTTTTGCATAGGTTTCTCGCGACGGCACACGCGCAAGGGCGTTCGACAGATTTCGACATGCGCGCGCGAAGCCCGTGTGGTAGCATTTTGTGAAAATCTGAAAAAAAACCTATGATTTTCCAAAGATTTCGCAAGAGCTCGCGCGTAAGCTTTTTGAGCAAGTCAGTGTTGCGAAACCCTGTGTTTTTGTATGTGTTTTGGAAACTCGATTGCGAAATCCTTCCGACACCGAAGGTTTTTGACGGATTTCGGCATGCGCGCGCGACGACGCGCGCATGTGCACTTCGTCCCATGTTTTGCAAGGGATTCGCGAACAAGTGCTATGTTAGATCAAAAAATGTCCCCGCGTATTGTTTTTTACAAGGGAACCTCAGGGGGAGCGATACCGGTTCCTGGGGATAGTGTAAACTCACATGTAGGATGGACATGTGGTCAGATTCATATGATTCACAGACCCGAAAGGGAAATGGATAACGCCAGGGGGGGTAGAGTCTGTCCTCTTTGTAGAAAGGAGAGTTAATATCTGCTCGCAATGAAAAGTCCACTCCACTGCTCGCGCAAACATCCCACCCACCCACCCGCAACTTGGTCTGCAAAATCTCTTAAGACCGCGACGGTGGGTACAAAACGGCACTTGGCAACGACTGCGACGCCGACGACGACAGCGACAACGACGACGACGACGACAACGCCGACAACGACTACGACGACACCGACGACGTCTCCAACGACTTCGACGACGCCGACAACGACGACGACGACGACACCGACGACGACGACGACGACGCCGACGCCGCCGACGACGACGACGCCAACGACGACGACGATGACGACTCCGACGACGACGACAACGCGACACCGACGATGACGACGACGTCACGACGACGCCGACGACGACGACGACGACGACGACGACGCGGAGACGGACGACGCGCCGACGACGACGACGACGACGACGCGACGACGACCGACGACCGACGACGAAGACGACGACGTCGCGAACGAAGACGACGACGAGGGAGGAGGGGGACGGCGACGACGCGAACGACGAAGAAGGAGGAAGGACGGCGACGCCGACACGGACAGACGAGGGAGGAGGAAAGTCGATGACGACGACAACGACGACGACGACGACGACGACGGCGACGAAATAGGAGGGACGACGACGAGACGCCGACGACGGACGACGACGACGACGAGGGAGGAGTAGGAAGGACGACGACGGCGACAACGACAACGGAAACGACCACGACGCCAAAGAGGACGACGACGACGAACACGAGGAAAGACCGAGGACGACGTAGGCGACGACGACGACGACGCAAGAGCGCGCGCGCACGCTTTTGTTGAAAATCCGTGTTGCGAAACCTTGTGTTTTTGTAGGTTATTTGGACTCACGATTTTGAAATCCTTCCGAAACCGATGGGTTTTGAAGGATTTTGGCATACGCGCGCGACGACGCGCGCGTCTGCACTTCGCCCCATTTTTTGCATAGGATTCTCGCGACGGCACACGCGCAAGGGCGTTCGACAGATTTCGACATGCGCGCGCGCGAAGCCCGTGTGGTAGCATTTTGTGAAAATCTGGAAAAACCTATGATTTTCTAAAGATTTCGCAAAAACTCGCGTGTAAGCTTTTTGAGCAAGTCAGTGTTGCGAAACCCTGTGTTTTAATATGTTCTTTGGAAACTCGACTGCGAAATCCCTCCGACACCGAAGGTTTTTGACGGATTTCGGCATGCGCGCGCGACGACGCGCGCGTGTGCATTTCGTCGCATTTTTTGCAATGGATTCGCGAAAAAGTGCTATGTTAGAAGAAAAGATGTCCCCGCGTATTGTTTTTTACTAGGGAACCTCAGGGCGAGCGATACCGGCCCCCCTGGGATAGTATTAATTCATATTTGGGGTGGACATGTGGTCAGAATCGTATATGATTTACATACCAGAAAGGGGAACGGATAACGGCGGGGGGGGGTAGAGTCTATTCTCTTTTGAATCACTTGACGAACTTGAAGTTGTCAACCAAGGATGGAACATCATCCATTCTTACATGTTCAATCGGCTACCCCAAGATTTCGGTATTCCGATTGTAAAGCTGCCAAAATTCAACACCTCCCATTGGTAAAATGGAAACTGAACAAGAGCTGTGGATTTCCCGGTGTTCGATTACCATGTGCCTTACATGTGAGGCTTCGATGTTTCATTGTTTAATGTTACAATCCCCACCGCTTCCTAGAATCCAGTCAGTAACATAAGCCAGCGTAATTCAGTGAAGCTACACAGAACTGCTAGAGGAGCATGGCGTGTCGTTGGTTTCCAGTGTTGCTTTCCAGCTGTGCTAGAACCTGCTTTGTTTGATGCCCACATGGGTGCGTCTCAACAGTTCGTCTAATCACAAGGTGTGGCAACCCCATCGGTGGCCCCCCATTGCTTGTTCTGTGAGACTGGGCACGCACGTGCCACTGATACTCGTATATGTATATATATATATATATATATATATATATATATATATATCCACATAGAGAGGGAGAGAGAGAGAGAGAGAAAGAGCGTGGAAGGAGAAAGATGTCAAACAGAAATGTGTTTGAAATGACAGCCTAGCTGACAGGCCGCTACGCCGGTCTAACAAGCAGGGGCACCACATGGCATTGCATAATTACCTACGGCGTCCCATCGTCAGCATCCTCCTCTTGCCGCTGCTGACCAGCTCCGTCCAATAATCTGCTCATCTTCCACTCCTTCTCCTCCTCTTCCTCGTCTTCCTCCACATCAGATCCCTACCGCCCCCGCAACCGCGTTGCGTTGTGTCGGCTGGCGCCTACGAAACAGGCGTGCGTGGATACTATTCGGTCGGGGCCCTCACACGGAGCTCCCTCGGCGATCACAGGATCATACACACGTTCGATGCAGACCGGAGCGATCGCAAGAAGCAGAGCGCCCGGGATGGCCACGCACGCAGGACAGACACGTCGACACGCCGTGTCGCTGTCTTCCCGGTGTGAGCGCGGCCTTCCAGCGAGCCGCCTGGCCGGGAGCACGGGGCCAGGCCGGGCCGGGGTGGCCCCAGGCCCCCACGGCGACCGCCAGGTCCTGCACACCTCTGACCACACGCGCCCCGGAGCGCATCCCGTCCTCCTCCCTGCGGGACAGCAGGCGCCCTCCCTGTGGGACCAAGCGTGCCACGTCCTGACTTTTCCTGTGCGGGGCCCCCTGAAGTCCCGGCCTTCTCCCCGGGACTGGCTCTTCATCCTGAGGCGTTGAACTTGACTGCCCCAGGGCCCGGCCAGGGCCCCCAGGCCCTGCGGCCCTGACTTGTTCAAGACGCGAGCATGTCTGGGGCAGGAGGAGGAGGAGGAAGAGGAGGATGGAGGAGTAGGAGGAGGAGGGGGAGGAGAAGAATAATAATAAGAATAATAATAATAATAATAATAATAAAAATAAGGATAATAATAAGAATGCTAATCAGCAGAATACGAATAATAATCATACTCATAATATTAGTAAGAATAATAACACTATGAATAAAAATACTAATAATAATAGTAATAATGATAAGAATACTAATAATAATACTAATACTAATAATAATAATAGTAGTAGTAGTAGTAATACTAATAATAGGAATAATAATACAAATAACAATAAGAATAATAACAATAAGAATAGTGATAATACTAATACTCATATTAATAAGAATAAGAAGAAGATACATATTAAGAATAATAATAATAATAATAACAAGAAGAAGAGGATGAAGAAGGCGGAGGAGGAGGAGGAGGAGGAGGAGAAGGAGGAGAGCCGTTGCCCGACTCGGGGACGCGGATCCCCGCCAAGCCCTCGACGCGAGGGTGGGAGGTCCTGCAGCAGGCGACCGGCGAAGCGCGGCGCCCGCCGCGCCACGGCGGGCCGAGGCGCCCGCAACCAGGCTCGACACCTCCGTCGCCGCCACCATGAACGAGGACTTCAAGGGTGAAGGGGCCCCAGGACACACAAATAAATACACACAAATAAAAAGATTCCCCATATTTTCCCATATTTTCTGGGTTTCTGTCTTCCCCCCCACTTCCCATATTTTCCCATATTTTCTGGGGAATCGAGGATTAATTGTGTCTGTGTGTTTCTTTTCCTCCTGAAAGGGCCCCACCGTGGTACTCAGGCCTCGAGACTACGAAGCTCCAAGTTTCACCAGGCTAGGCGGCCCGGACATGGAGACGACCCAGGATCCAGGGCATCCCCGTTCTTGTCAGCGCGGGAAGCTCCAACAGAGAACACCGTGACACCAACAAGGCGAAGCTCAGGAACTGCAAGTGCATTCTCATCCCGGTCCCCACAGAGAGCATGACAACCACAACCCCTCCCACAGCGTCTTCGCCATGGTCGGGCCGCCCGGCTACTGGGCCACCGACGCCAGAGCCACCCACGGCGACAGCGAGGGCCTCCTGCTGCCCCGCTGCTCGGCTTACTAGGCCACGACCCCCCACGACCCCCTGCCCACCCCGACGGCCTCCACGACCCCCAAACCGACGGCCCCAACGACGGCCGCGCCCCGAGTGGCCGCACGGCCCTGCGAGGGAGCCCCAAACGGGAGACACGCCCAGGGAAGCGGCCCTGGGAGCCGCCGGCTGGGCAAGAAGCTGTCGCCGCCCACCCCGCGGCGGGCTCCGCGCCCCGAGCGGCCGCCCTGAGAGGGAGCCCACGGGGGGGGGGGGGGGGGGGGCCCACCCCCGACGGCCCCCGCGACAGGTCCCTACGGCGGACCCCACGACGACTCCCCCTCCTCGCCCTCCCTCCTCGCTCCCCCCGCAACGCGTGGGGCAATATATGTAACAAAGGCAAATATAATATGAATTAATAAATAAATTTAAAAAAGAAAAACAAAAGGAAAGAAACCAGAAAGAAAAAAAAAACATGAGAAGAGAAAACATATTATAACTAAACAAGAAATAGTAAAACTAGAAATTAATAAAAAACGAAATGAAAAATAAAAAATAAATAATATGTGAAGGGAAATATAGTAAAAACCATAAGACGACATGAAAAAAATAAAAAAAAAGAAATAATAAAGAAGGAGCAGAAGAAAAAACAAAGGAAAAACATTAAACAAAGCCACGGCCCCCTGCCCCACGGCCCCCCCCCGTCCCGCGACCTCCCGCCCTACGAAGCCCACGACCCCCTGCCCTGCCCGACGGCCCCCGCGACCCGCGACCCCATGCTCGAAGGCCCCCACGACGACCGCGCCCCGAGTGGCCGCATGCCCCTGCGAGGGAGCCCGTGGGGGACATCCGCCCCGACGGCGACGAAGATCACGCCTCCCCCTCCGCCCCGGGACCCTCCACCCGACCCGACGGCTCCCACGACCCACCACCGCGACTGCCCCCCCCCCACACACGACGGCCCCCACGAGCGCCTGCCCCCACCCCCTCGGACGACCCCCCCGCGGCGGCCCCTGCGCCCCCCCGCCCGACGGCCGCGCCCCGAGGGGCCCCGCAGACCCTGAAAGGAGGCCCGCGGGGGGCACGCACCCAGGAAAGCGGCCACGGGGACGGCTGGCCGGCCCGCAGCATGCGCCGCCGGCGCCTCGGCAGGACCCCGAATGGCAGCATGTCCTGCGAGGCCTCCTCCTCCTCCTCCTCCTCCTCCTCCTCCTCCTCCTCCTCCTCCTCCTCCTCCTCCTCCTCCCCCCCTCCTCAGCCCCCGCTGGGGGCAGAATGCCCAGGGAAGCAGCCACAGGGACAGCCGCAGACGCTCTGTGAGGCCCTCCCCCCGCCGCTCCCCCGACGGCCCCACGACCCCCCACCCAGCCCGAGAACCCCCACGACACACCTAGTGGGCCCCCAAGCACCCCCCCCCCCGAAGGTCCCGACGACGCCCCCCACGGCCCCCCAAGGCTGCCCCCGCAACGGCTCCCACAACGGCCTCACCCCGAAGACGACGACGATTTCGACCACGACGAAGCCGCGCGACCACCAAGACGGGCGCGAGAACAAACCGACGGACGGACTTGCCGACGCCCCTCCCGACGCCTTCTCCGACGCCCCCCGTGACGCCCAGACCAGTGCCCCACCCCGCCCCCCTGCCCGACTCCTCGCCCAACGCACGCCTCGCGACGGACCCTTTGCTGGGACTGCCTCAGCTTCGTGGACAGCGCTTCCCTCACGGACGGCTGGGCGGACCACCTGACAGCCGACCCCGTGACCCCCCGCCCGGCTACCGCCACAGCCCCCCCAAACGGCCCTCCGCGACGGCCCCCGACGACGCCCTCCTCGACGGCCTCTTGGCGACGACCCTCACGAAGGCGGCCCCCGCGACGGACCCCCGAGACAACCCCCGCGACGGCGACCGAGAAGGCGGGCGCGAGGACGGCCGCGGCCACCACGACTGCCGCCACGACAACACCCACGACGACCCCCGCGACGGCCTCGTCGACAACCCCAGCCCAGCGACGGCGCCGCCGATACCCCCCACGCGCACGACTGCGAAGACGACACCGCCTCCTCAGAGGAAACAAATCCCGAGGAGGACGAGGACCCGACCTCGGACGACTCCGACGCGTCGAACCCACTCCTTGCCGCTTGGCGGCAGAGACGGCGGCAGCTCTACTGGCGACGCCCTCCATTTCCCCGACGCCCCCGCCAACGCTACAACACTTTGCCACGACCCCCCACGCTCCCACGCCCCACGACCTCTCCCGACGGCCCCCACGACGGCCGCGGTCACCGCGACGGCTTCGAAGACGGGCCTCAGACAGGTACCCAACTATGGGTGCGAAGCCAAAAGGCCAGCTGCCACTACTGCAAGTACAGTCGGGGCCCTGAAGAAGGAACCCTTTTCGTTGGGGAGGGGCTCCGCGTTCCTCAAGTGTTTCACAGCTTGCCTCAGGTTTTCCTTATGTCTTCGATATGACATCTAAGTTTAACTTATGGAAAAAAGGGGCCTCGTTCCTTCTTTAGGGTTCCTTAGGTCAACGCCCCGACTGTACAACCAGAGTCGGCAACACCCAGCGACCACCTGAGCATGCCGACGCCCACCGCAGGTGCTGCGCCTGCCGGACCTCCAGCGAGGAGCTCGAGGGCCCGAGAGGCCCGGGAGGCGGCGCGCTGTGCCGCCGGGCAGAGAGGAGGGGTAAGCACCAGCAGGGAGGTGGAAACCCGCGGCGCGCAGCGCGCCCGACACCAGCGGCAAGCCCGTGCACGGAAAGGCCCACTCTGCCCCCCCATTTCTCTTGGGAGAGGAATGAGGAGGAGGAGGAGGAGGGGGAGGAGGAGGAGGAGGAGGAGGAGGAGGAGGCGGAGGAGGAGGAGGAGGAGGAGGAGGAGGAGGAGGGAGGAGGGAGGAGCTGGCCAGCAGCCGCTCTCCCAAACTCCGGGCACACGTCGCGATCTACAGCCATCGTGCTACCATAAGGAGCGCTGAAGAAGGAGCGGAGGGAACTGTGTGGCCACGGCGAGCTTCGTCCAGGAATATGCCAACGTGCCTGGGTGACCCCTGTCAGAAACAAGGGTCCCCCCAAACGGACTAAAGGGGCACTCAGAGGCTCCCAAGACGGTCCACGAGTCCAAGAGATACCCGAGTCGTCCGAAAACCGATCCAAGACTCCCAGAGATGGCCGCCTAACGGCCAAAGAGGCCCCCAAGACGCCCCAAGAGGGCATACCGAAAGGGCACCGAAAGAAGAAACGAATACAAGTCCCTCAGATGTCTTCGGACGTAGCCCGAATTTGTTTCTCGCGATGTAAACTGGACTGAACTGAGCTGAACTGAACAGACTGGTCGCACCCGTTACGCGACGGTTTGATTCTCGGCCGCCGAGGGCGCGACCTATGGCGCAACCGATAGGAGACGGTGTTATTCTCAGCCGCCGAGGGCGCAACCTATCGC